AAGTGCACAGTGGTTGGTGAAGGATGAGAAGTTAAAAAGAAACCCTATTGTAATATAAGGTTAATGTTAAGGAATGGCATATGAACTAGAAATAATTAGGGAAATAAATCAGCAATAAGAGGAAACCTTGCAGAATGAGGAAACCAATATTTGGAAAAGTCATATTAAATTCGTCTTAATTTGGTGATTGAGAGATTATTCGAATCCTGAACTTTGGGGAAATCACATTTCAGACTCCATTGCCTTTTTCTTTGAAGATTTATTAAGCAGGGAAGCAGGTAAATGGAGAAGAGGAAAGAGAGTTCTGTGGTGCAAACCTCAGTTGTCCTGAACTAATTATGAAGAACAAGATATTCTGGTCGCCCCCAATGGTCAGTGGGGGGTTGAAAGGACCCTGATGAGGGGTCAAAGGCTGCAGTCCAGAGATCCTTTTGAATTCACTCTATGTGTGAATTAAGGTAAAGGTAACGGGACACCTGACCATTAGGTCCAGTCAGGGCCGACTCTGGGGTTGCGGTGCTCATCTCGCTTTATTGGCCGAGGGAGACGGCGTACAGCTTCTGGGCCATGTCCCCAGCATGACTAAGCCGCTTCTGGTGAAACCAGAGCAGCGCACTGAAATGCCGTTTACCTTCCCGCTGGAGAGATACCTACTTATCTACTTGCACTTTGATGTGCTTTTGAACTGCTAGGTTGGCAGGAGCAGGGACTGAGCAACGGGAGCTCACCCCGTCGCGGAGATTCGAACCGCCGACCTTCTGATCGGCAAGCCCTCGGCTCTGTGGTTTTACCCACAGCGCCACCCACGTCCCTATGAGTGAATTAAGGTAAAGGTAAAGGTACCCCTGCCCGTACGGGCCAGTCTTGACAGACTCTAGGGTTTTGCGCCCATCTCACTCTATAGGCCGGGAGCCAGCGCTGTCCGGAGACACTTTCCGGGTCACGTGGCCAGTGTGACATCGCTGCTCTGGCGAGCCAGAGCCGCACACGGAAACGCCGTTTACCTTCCCGCTAGTAAGCGGTCCCTATTTATCTACTTGCACCCTGGGGTGCTTTCGAACTGCTAGGTTGGCAGGCGCTGGGACCGAACAACGGGAGCGCACCCCGCTGCGGGGATTCGAACCGCCGACCTTTTGATCGGCAAGCCCTAGGCGCTGAGGCTTTTACCCACAGCGCCACCCGCGTCCCTATGAGTGAATTACATACCCACAAATATTCCTAACTGTTCCTCTTTGTTGCACCTTCTTGTCTTTCTGGGTAGGCCGTACCTTGTTCCAGGTGTACAGAAAGATGTCGACCTGGATATGCCAAGGTGGTTCTAGAAGGAAAGCCCGTTTGCTGCTACGCTTGCGCTCGGTGTGCGGAAGGGACCTTCTCCGCCCAGGAAGGTGGGTGACTCCAAGGGAGAAGGTATTTCTGGAGAGAGTAAACACAGGGCAGAAACCCAGGCTCACACACTTTTTGTGAGAATTCTGCAGACATTGTGGAATGTGGCTCCTTCCTCAATTTCTTTAGGATTAATCACCTTCATTACATCCCGGAAGAGAGTTGAAAGGAATGATCATAAGGAAGAAATCTCTAGGATTTCTTCAAATCGTAATAGAGCACAGATCATGAGGGATGTAAGTGATGCTGCAGCCACTCTTATTCTCTTCCCCAGATGCAGAACATTGCACCAAATGCTCAAAAGATCACCATTCAAACAAGGACAGAGATCAATGTGTCCCCAAGATTACCACCTTCCTGACTTATGGGGAATATTTGGGAATGGTGTTAGCTTCCGTTGCCCTCTTCTTGTCCTTAACAGCAGGCATTGTGTTGGGAATCTTCATTAAATACAAGGAAACTCCCATAGTCAAAGCCAACAACTGGGACCGTCTCCTACATCCTGCTCGTCTCCCTCCTTCTTTCCTTTCTGTCCTCCTTCCTCTTCATTGGGCGCCCAAGGAAAGAGACCTGCCTTCTCCGACAAACGGCCTTCAGCATCATCTTCTCAGCTGCTGTTTCTTCTGTCTTGGCAAAGACCATCACGGTGGTGCTGGCCTTCCTGGCCACAAAGCCCGGGAACAGGGTGAGGAGATGGCTGGGCAAGAGTCTGGCCAACTCCATTGTCATCTCCTGTTCTGGGGGGCAAGTTCTCATCTGCACCATCTGGCTGGGCTCTTCTCCCCCATTCCCAGAGCCCGACATGCACTCCCAGGTGGAAGAGATCATCCTGCAATGCAACGAAGGGTCTGTGGCCATGTTCTACGTTGCCCTCGGCTACCTGGGCTTCTTGGCTGCCACCTGCTTCACGGTGGCTTTCCTAGCCAGGAAGCTGCCTGGCTCCTTCAACGAAGCCAAGCTGATCACCTTCAGCATGCTGGTCTTCTGCAGTGTTTGGGTGTCTTTTGTGCCCACCTACCTGAGCACCAAGGGCAAGTACATGGTGGCCGTGCAGATCTTCTCTATGTTGGCCTCCAGTGCTGGGGCTTCTGGGCTGCATCTTCCTTCCCAAGTGCTACATTATTGTGCTGAGGCCTGATCTGAACACAAAGGAGCACCTGACAACAAGGAATTAAGGGAACACCTGATTCTTAAAATAGTCCATGTTCATGATGTCTGGAAGTGCATAAAGGAAACACAGCTACTCATCCATGTTGCTCATTCTCCATCTCTGACAGAGATTATGTTCACTCTTATCCCTGGTTTTAGGAAGTCCTGTTGACATGAGCAGTAAGATGGGAGGAAATGTTTTGCTACCTTGCTATGCCAAGGACTACAATGAGTCCTGGTCTACTGCCCTAAGTTTGTAAACTATTATCTTTTAATAATTTTGTGTTTGGGGAACTTACATTTATCTCACAACAAGATAGGCTGGAGGGAGAGAGGAGTTAGGTTTCTGAGTCTGTTTGCTTTGTCATGACTACCTATTAACCATATCAATTCTAATATTCAACAATACTGTTTGGTTATGCCAGTTCTATGTATACAGTTTTCTATGTTCCATTCACCGCATTTATGCGCTATCATTCATAAGCTCACTTCACATCATTTCGTTCTCCTATGCTTTGTATATCAATAAACTGAGAAATTCATTTGAGACATCTTCCGTAGTCTGTTGGTTTAATTTCTGTATTGTGTAAGCTCTGCTCCCTGACCTTAGCCAAGCCTTGACTGGGATCCCAATGAATTTTATTGCACTGGCCAGGGTTAGGAATAGGGTTAGGGGCGGGCGAGGCCAGTGGGAAGAGAGGGGAGAGGGAACTCCGGGGCTCACGGGAGTGGCAGGCTGCCTACGCCAATCTTGGTGAATCATTGTGAGCTGGGAAGGCAATGGGTCACGAAAGGCAGCAGTGGAAAGCGGGGAGAGCTGGGGCGAGGTATATTATTATTATTATTATATTATATTATATTATATTATCATATCATTATATTATATTATATTATATTATATTATATTATATTATATTATATTATATTATATTATATTATATTATATTAATTATATTATATTATATTATTATTACATTGGGACACGGGTGGTGCTGTGGGTCAAACCACAGAACCTAGGGCTTGCCCGATCAGAAGGTGGGGCAGTTTGAATCCCCGCGACGGGGTGAAGCTCCCGTTGTTTGGTCCGAGCTCCTACCACCTAGCAGTTCGAAAGCAAGTCAAAGTGCAAGTAGATAAAGAGGTAGTGCTCCGGCGGAAGGTAAATGGCGTTTCCGTGTACTGCTCTGGTTTGCCAGAATGCGCATGCTGGCCACATGACCCAGAAGCTGTATGCCGGCTCCCTCGGCAGTAAAGCAAGATGAGCGCCGCAACCCCAGAGTCGGCTACGACTGGACCCTAATGGTCAGGCGGTCCCTTTACCTTTTCCTACTATGTTATGTTAGTTATGTTATGTTATGTTATGTTATGTTATGTTATGTTATGTTATGTTATGTTATGTTTATGTTTTATGTTATATATACTATATTATATTATATTATATTATATTATATTATATTATATTATATATATTATATTAATATTATATATATACAGCGTGATTCATAATGAAGTATTACAGTTTCAACACACTATAAAAAAGAATATTAATATATCCCATGTTACCTGTGACAGAATTGTAGGGGAATGTTTAAAGTATTTTAGAAACAGTCACAGATGTTCTATGTGTGCACCCTTTGTCACACAACACACATCACAATTGAAAAATGCCGTTGCACAACAAACTCCGTTTTGCTCAATTCAAGAACACAAAACGCCTTCTCCACTCCAGACGCAGCCATTTCGCCTGACTAGTCACATGACACGCGCACATCTCACCTCCATCACTTCCCTCAGTCGCGGAAGACCAAACTTTATGAGTACATCTGCCTCACGGTTCGCAGCTGTGGTTCTGTGTCAGCGCCGGTCTTACAAGATCTGGAAACTGTAATATTTCATTATGAATCACCTTTGTATTATATTATTTTGGTGTCCAAGTCACTGCATTACTCATAGGATACTTCATTTCAATCAATCAAATCTTTATTACGGTAGTAGACCAGCCATTCAGTAGGGTGGGGGTAGAGTCATTTCCAAACTGTAAAACGTTTTGGGAAAGCTAAATTGTATTAAAACACAAGTATATATAAAGTCTAAAAGAAGCTAAAAGAGGGTTTGGGAGCATTAAACAGATGTGGAAGAGCATAAAAGGTTAGTATATAAAAGACTATGGCCATCAATTTCCAGGGCAACTCTGATATGAGTGTTCATTACATCTAGTTTAAACAACAACAACAACAATTTATTTATACCCCACCATCTGGCTTGGTTCCCCAGCCCACTCAGGGTGGCTTCCCAAATAGAATATGAAAAACACACAATAAAATACATCAAACATTAAAACTTCCCTGAACAGGGCTACCTTCAGATGTCTTCTAAAAGTCAGGTAGTTGTTTACTTCCTTGACATCTGCTGGGAGGGCGCCACCACCGAGAAGGCCCTCTGCCTGGTTCCCTCTTTGTGGCACAGGTCATCATCCGATGAATTGGGAGCGTCATTTATTTCTGTGTTCATAATTAAAGAAAATGTGCATTTTAAAAGTATCGCACCTTGATTGTAATATTAAGAATGCACTTAAAATTACTATGCACAACAATGAATAAGTGATTGAAAACACACAGTTAAGCAGTATAAATATGTGTGAACAATGTTCTTAAAAACATTTGTTAACCAAGTCTAATACTATCTTGTTGTGATTATTACTTTTATTGCGACTAATCCCAGTGGCTTACAAGACTGAGC